GAGGAAAGTTTTCCTGTTGACTGCTTATTAATTGTAATACTCATAATATTGTTTATGTGATTTCTTGTGTGGACTTCTTGGGATTATGATAAGGGATTTTTTAGGTGGACAAAATGTATCAGCTTTACATCCTTCTAATGTTTCCAACCATTTCCTGGAAAAAATCTAAATAGGATATGTCTTCCTTTGCCTTGCCTTGGGGGTGAAATAATGTTTTTGACAGGCAGGGCCAATGACTTGCAGAGGAGACTTTAGGTTTAAATCACTGCCTAAATGTAAAATTGTATTGCAGCCTTTCAAAATGCAACACTCTGGGCAGAATGATAATTTAAATACAACACTGCGTGCAAATATAATGTATGACTAGATTTTTTTTTTTATATCTACTGTACCTGAAGTGTACCTTTTTATATCCGTCTTGGGGAGTGGGGAACTAGGACATGTGGGGGATTAAAACAAGGGCTTCTGACGATTATAAACATTTGAAATGCAGAGAGTGTTTTATAGATTATTTGAAAAGCCCAGTGCCATTTGGTGCCTGTCATTCTTTTTCAATAAAGAAAAAAGCTATTTGAGTACTTATATTTATATATTGCTAACACCCATATATAAAAGGGTCCTAGTAGAGTAATCAGTTTGAGGGCAAGCTGATGCCTCTATGCTTGATGCCATCAAAGTGATCCTACCTGCCTCCCCCAGCCTAAGGTTCATCATAGTTTGTTCAAACAAAGCAAACCATGTTACTAGTATTGCTTTGGGTACAGAGGTATTGTTTTGATGCAATATTTGAACATGTTTTCCAGCATGCTGCATGCTGGCTTGTCAGGTGTTCTCTTTTAATAGGAAAGGGGAACCAAAGCTTTCACTTTGTAAACACTGCATTTACTATTCTGACCAAATAGGTGGAAGATCAAGGCAGGTGCCAGTTCTGAGCAGGTCACTGGAGGATAAGTAAACATCCCACTCCTGGAACTTCTCAGCAGTATATTTTCCTGAGCATGGTCACCAAACCAAGATTAGGGCTGACGATTCATTCTAATCTTTTAAATGTTTATTTTGCATAATTTATATAACAGTGATCTTTTATGGCAAGGAAATAGAAGATATAGGACTGGAGGAAGAAAGAAAGCAGCAGAGTTTACCTGTGATCGCCTTGATGATCTAATCATGGTGATCACATGATCAAACCATGCACGTTGGTTTCTTCTATCTCAAGAACCCATGGTCTGTATCCTGTATGTCCTGCACAATATTTAAAACGCAGGGCAACACAATGCATAAAGTACATGTACAGTATCTGTGCATTGCCATTCTCCATAACACAGGTGTGTTGCAGTGCATTATAGATATGCGTTGGTGTGCAATTAACTTTGCATTTGTTGTACAGTAAAGCACATCTACAATGTGTTACACTAACATGCTTCATAACTGGGTTCACAATGTGTGCTATAAAGTGTGTTATAATGAGAGAAATCTCTTTGAGTTCTCACAGAACACAAAACAGAATTAGCTAATTATGATCATACAGTATATGATCATATAGGAATCATTCCGAATAAGTTGTTTCTGATTTCCTAGTCCCCCATTAGCATCCTGGTGCCAGAGCTTCACGTGTGTTTAGTTTTGTGGAAGAGTGTGGAAGGGTTAGAACCACTGTCAGGATTTTACAGTTGTCACCAGAAAAGGAATAGAGTAGAAATCTGCTAATAAGGACATTTGTGCTGTGACGACACTCTTGTTTGAATTTCTTTGCACTTCCTGTTGCATCTTCAGTACAGGAAGTGAATTGAAATCGAATCAATTGGTCACAGGCAGCAAAAATAAAGTGTCAAGGATTTAAACTACATACTTAGGACCTTGAATGCCCTCCTAAAACAGGGGCATAATATAAAATAGAGTAGGCAAGAAGGCGTTAAAGTGAAACAGTGACAAGCAGTCACAGGGATGCAAAGCATGGATGACATATAGTGAAAGTTGCTTTCATGTTATCAATTTATGCTGCAAGTGCTTTGGCACCTATTATATAACATCTGACACCTGTGCCAAGAGCCAACTTCGAATACATAGACAATGCGTGGATTGAAACTGCTCAACCACAATGCCGTATGCCTGGAAGCTGTAGGAAAATATGCAACATGGTGCATCAGGAGTTAATGTTAACTTTTACTTTTATAATTTATTGGGGCATTCCTATTAACTTTTTCTTTTATCAGTCAACTGCATCCTGCATAATCACTATTTAATTGACTGTTGTACCATGCTGAGAAAGGTTTACACAATCTCATTATATGGAAAGGTTTTTTATCTAATTCTGCCAGGAAGAAGGTGTTCCCTTATAACAGCTGTGTACCTTCTCCAGAGAAATAATTTCAAAATGGATCATAGTATATTAATGTCATTTCCTCTCTGACTCAGACAGGAAAAAAACGTTGGTAGAAATGATAAGTAATACATTTAGTTATTTGAGTTTTCACAGGAGGATGTCTAAAAGCAGGACTTGTACTGAAAATGCTTGCCATTGAACATTAGTACAATGACAAGCTATACAAATATCAAATTCTGCACCACAAATATTGAATGTGGACACGTGCGGTTTTTATGCACTTTAAATGAAATGCATGAGCTTTTTAATGATTTTTAAAATATATGTGTAAAAGAGATCAGCGCGAAGTAGATAATGTTATCAATCTGTCTTTTTTTAACTGTTACTATGTGAAAAATGTATAATTTGTAATTATATATGTACATGGGGACAACCTTATTTATTTGTTACATATGCAAGCTGTGTTTTCTGCTTAATAGTGCTACACTATTACAACAGATGATTTACTGCTCCTGCTCACACTGCATATCTATGGGTCAGTTTGAAAACGGTATGCTTTCTATATGGCTGATATCTTATCAGCTGTTAAAAAAGAGAGGCAGAGTGATTGTACATTTTTTGTGCTTCTAATGGCCCAATAAACATATTATGGTATTTAATGCAGTAACAAAAATCTGAAAAAGCAAACATTTAAAGGGTTAGTCCAACTTGTAACAAAATAGGCTATGCAGTCAAGAATCCTCAGTCGGTATCAGTAAACTAAGCAGCTTTTTGAAATCTTTATTAATATATCTGCAATACCTGTAGTCCATTTGTGCCTGCACCGAAACCTGTCCAAAAAACTCCCAATATTTTGCCTAGCTCCATCCTGTCCTTTTGCCAGCATGAGTTAGCTGTTGGACGCTTGTCCCCTGCATCACAGGAGCAAGTGCTTTCCTTGTCTCTGACCCCGTAATATAGTACCCACAGCTCCCGGGTTTTGCTATGACAGAGAACAATAATTGTGCATTTCATCTGCTGACAAAATCTGGTTTTGTGCCCACTTCAGTCAGATAATATGATGTACTATGATGGTATTATACTGGACAAGGACAGACTAAATTCTATGTAAACTATAAAAAACATTGATCAATGTCCTGATCTATCTAACTGCATGATAAATATTAGGATAACACTAATGTACAGGAAGAATTGAAAGATTTAGTTAAGCCTCTGTAGACAGTACGTCATAAAATGATTAAGCCTGAGATAATTTAATCTAACAAGCTAACATGCCCCCAGAGGTCCTTTTTTCTTATGTATGTGCAAAACAAATAAAAGAGGTATACCTCTTCTCTCCAGGTAACATTAGCCTAGTCCTACAAGCATAAGGTCAGGTATTACCAATGCTAGATGGTCCACTAGTCTGTGAGAACTGTTTTATGAATCTAGATTATACCCTCTAATCATTCATTTTTAATAGATTCTCAAAGTGTGGATCGGTTATTATCTTACTATAGTTGTTGCTAGTGCTCCAACCAAGT